AACACACACACACACACACACACACACACACACACACACACACACACACACACGCACATACACACGCATGTGAGTAAATGGTTATATTGGTATATATTATGCGGAAATATCGAGTAGCACAAGGTTTAGATTAATATTTGTATGTCGTAGTCTGTATACAATTGTATATAAGATACAGAGTGTTTCCCGGTTTACGTATCACGTTAAAATGATGGTATATAAGCATGGATACTTCGAAGTTCGTTACCGTAAGAATTTAGCAGACCGCTCCTTGTACCGTTAAATATTGTCATACAATAGGATCGTTTCTAGCATTTTCCGCGTGTTACACAGGGTGTTGAAAACGTAAAAAAATATGATCCTCTTTCTCTCAATCGTCCTCGCCAGTTCGGTACATGTACTTCGAAGTTATTCTCTTTCATATCTTTCATTATATTTGAAATGGATTTTTCACAATCGAATTAGACAGCAAAATGTATTATGTCTTTTGTATATTTCGATTATTTGTCTTTTTTTTTTTGGCATTTGATCTACTCGATTTTGTTATTTCATCGAGAACGTAATGCGGCTAATGAAAACGCTTTTGTATCGTTTTGTATCCCTGGAAATAGCAATCTCTCTGGCCATTCCTTGAACGATCATAATATGTGAAAATATTACAAGGTGCCAAAAGAATATAGAACACGTAAGATCACTTTTCAATCATGTCATACAGAGACAAAGAATATTTACGCGTGTAATTCGATTAAGAGAATAAGATATATTTACATTCCGATCTTTCATATACGTATAAATCATGATGTACAGAGTAGAATAATGATCTGCACAATTTCGTAGTAGCAAGGCGATGACAACTTCGTTATTTTCTTTTTTAATTAATAATTTAATTAATAATAATAAATTAATTAATAATAATAAATTTGCGTTTCTGTTTAAATTTGTTACATATTGATCTCTAGACAATTTTTTTTTCTACGAATATATATATATTTTTTTTCTTTTTTTTGCGCAATAATATAAATATACATTATACTTGAAATGCGGAGTGGATAAAAACTCATCTAATCTTTCTATATTAGGATTGGTATTCAATTCAATAAATTGCAGACAGTTTAGTTGAAAGTTAAAGCCAACCAAGTATTTTTAGATTTTGCCTCGAGTAATTTAATTTGGAACAGAATTGATTTATTGGGAGTCGTATTTCTCAGCTAGTTGGTTTCGTATCGACAAGTCGTTCAATAACGATTTTTTTCGCGTAAGAGAAAAAAATTTTCTTGTCTTGAAGTTAATGATTATTTTGAATAAATACTGACTTTTCCGACTATTTATCTGACTATTTATAAATCGTACAATTGAAATTTCTTAGAAAAATGCTCTTAGACTTGCGAAATGTCATTTAAGAAATCGCCAAAACTTTTAACGCAGAAATGCTAGTTCTACCCTTTACATCTCTCAAGTATTTAGTATTTCTTGTTTTTAGCTTTTTACAGAATCATAGTTCAGTTAGTTGTTGCGATGATCCATTTGTAATTTTCCCATAGCAGCCCTCTTTGATGTCTCGGTAATGCGTTATATTTCGCGATAATCGCTCTCGTATCTATTTCTTTTTCCTCATCCGATATCATAATTCTTTACATTACCATGATTTTAACGTTTGTTATAGACTGGGTTGAACGTGTAATGTTTTAAGTACTTAGTGTAAAGCGAAATGTCGTGTGTGTTAGGCATACTAATCCGTATCGTGATACATATATGTCGAAGCGTAGTCATAGTACATATACAACATAGTTGATACGATAAGTTGAAAGGGCGATGGATAAACAGTGAAGCGATTGCGGCGGATATGCCGGAGATGATGTTCGATGTTCGACCTTATGTTTGCGCAAGCTTGCAAAATATATTAATTCTAAGTACTTTAGGGTGACAGAGGAGGGAAGAAGTATTGAGAGTACCACTAGCGAATAGTGTATGCGATAGTACGAAGTGGAAAGTGACGTGGGCCTTATATCATGGATTACCTCAATTGTAAGCAGCTTAAAAATGCAATTTCTTGCACGTGATGATGTCAAAACTGATTTCAAACGAAAAAAAAAAGTGTACCGTGATTCGTACTAGATACTAATAAAGGAGCCATTTTACCTTCCGATAGTGGTTCGCTGTTGCACGACATTCCTTTTGCGCATATTAAATTATCGAGCCCGGAATTCACAGGGACTCGTATCCAGTTCTTTGCATTCGCCCAATTTTTATATAATTTTTATATCATTAATGTATCTGTTTCGATATCATCTGAATGATATTATTAAAGATGCGAAGATCGATAAAAAGTCGAAGCTTTCTTCGAATTTTTCTTTCCTTAGTGAAGTATTTTGAAAAATCATGTATTTCATCATCATGTATTTCAATTTTCTAAATTTTTTCAGAATTTTCATTATTTACATTTAACTTGACTAAATCTCAAAAACAGTAAAATTTTTATTGAAATAAAATCGATGTAAAATTAATTGAAAGAAAAATTTGCTTTTGCTTCTTAAAGTTTAATTCGCAAAAAGCTTTTCGAATATCGGAGCAAAATAAGAATGATATGAATATTAAAATTTACATAGTGTTTAATTCTAATTTAAATAAATTTAACTGTAAATTGGACATATAGTTAATTTAATTTCTGTCAACAGATGGATTGTTAGAACAACTCATCGAATGCAAAATGTTAAATACTGTTTAACAAAGGACTTGTGATTGTAATGCCTAAGCAAAATGATTATTTAATCACCCAAAGTGAAACCGGAAGAAAGTGCTCATCCACATTCAATCTTATCATATTTAAATAGCTTAATAAATAAAAACTTCTTATAGCAACTTTTGGCCTTTTTTTAAAATTTGTTATGTGCCTATCAAATTTTAAATGTAAAATAGTCTCATAGTGCGTATCAGTGTACTTTTACTGTTCTAAAAACTTTCTTCTCAAACACAGAATATAAATTTTGTTACGTTAATCGCACATGTTGAACGAATTTTTACATAGTAAAAAATATAAATAATATATTCTGTTCTGAATAATATATTCTGTTCTAGATTTTTATAGATTAACTGTCTTTTTGTTTAATAATGAATTTGTATCATTTGTAGTATCGATGAAGTGACACAATAAATCGAATATGTAGTATCTTTTTATTTTGTAATTGATTACTTAACAAGCAAAAATAACTTTGTCAGAATTTTTAAAGAGTAGTTTGAAATTGTATAATGTTTTATTATTATCATTTGCTCGCGATGACAGGCAATGATTGAAGCGTAATGCACAGTGTGTTAACGTGTGTTATTTCAGAAAAAATATGGATTAGCACTGCTTATGCGTGGCTCCTTTTATTCTCCCTCAAACATGCTCTGCGACAGTGAACCAGCAACATATCTCTGCATACATGTATGTACATATATATATATATATATCTCATAAATGTTAAGTCAATGCACACAATTATGTAGGCACATCAGCGAGCGCCAATGAATGCAATCAATTTTTTGTGTATGGATCATAAGCTTATCGAAACGTGAAAACGGTGATTTAGCAGGATCTGGAGATTCGATATTGTAATTAATAGTTTTCGTTGCATCCATCTGTGTTGCTTCAAAATAATCGCGTAATATGAGCAGCGAGCGCCGCAGAGAGAAAAGAATGAATACATAAATGAATTGTTTGAAAAGAGGGCAGATATAAAGATTCTATTCTTGAAACCCGAGTCGCGTTTTGTGTACATCCTCCTGAGACCTGACGTTGCATTTTTAGTGACATGCATGTTAATATCGTTTCGACATATAGTTTAGGATCCCAAGAAGTAGTGATGATTTAGTGTACTTGTCAGCTTAATTATTTTTATAGCATATAATAGACATTATACTTTTCTTATAATAGTTATGCCAAACTGCATGTATCATTCCAATATATCATATACGTTATGGTGTAAATATAAATATGTGAACAACAAAAGTTGACTTATTATATATTATATACATTTTTCGTATTAAACATTGTTATATACTTTAACTCATTAATGAGAGAGAGAGAGAGAGGGAGGGGGAGAAGGAAAGGGGAAGTAAGGAAAATTAGATAGAAAATAAAAATTAATTACAGAATTATTTGTAAAATCTAGAATTTCTAACGTGTCAATTAGTAAAATTATGTTATATATCTTCACAGTTATATCTATCACTTGCTAATTAAAGAAAATAAGATAGTGATTTTCACAGTGCAAATTGTTTAAATTTTTATAATCAGAGTAAAGATAAATGATCTGATGATCGTATTAAAAAATAAGAATATGATGTACAAAACACGCTGAGTCTCGGGAGGATATTAAACCCAAATTCATTTTATGACTAAATACACAAGTCATTTTGACTGTTTTTTTTTCTCCTTATTGCTACCTAAAATTACGCATACGCGTCAGCGCGATAACATTATTACTGAAGGTAATTTGGACACAACACTAAGAAAGATTGTATATCCCTACAATAAAGACCTAGCGTTTTACCTGTACGTAGCACGTGTTTTTTGAACAATTCTTTTTTTGCACGATTAATGTATACATAACTCATGCACTATGATCGTAAAATGATCATAAATGGTCAAATGTATTGAACAATAATGTTTAACATAATGAGTTATTAAAAATTAGTAGCCAATATTAAATTATAAAAAGATATCACACACAATAATAAAAAATGAAATTAAATAAATATCCGATAATGATTTGTGAAATAATAACAATCTATATACTGTTTAGTCGTTAATCTCAAGTTTATTTATATATTTGTATAAATTGATATTGCTAATTTTCCACTTAATCATAATTGAAGAAAAAAATTACATATCCACAATTCAGATATTTTTTCTAATTTTCTTCGACATTTATAGTTGACACATTAACATCGATTAATTGCAACAATCATAATGAAATAACATTTTTCTTATTGTTTTAGTGTTAAATAAAAAATATTGAATAAAATAAGAAATATATCATCTAATTCTGAATCTTGGAATATCTTTTTGACGTTTTTTAATGAACACAAATGTAGATATATAGAAAAGAATTTTGTCAGTGTCAGTTATTATCTTAGTTTAAGCAATATGAGTTGTCGAAATTAAACATACAGTTCATACGTTATAATTAAGTTGTTTATCATTCTTACACATCACTTTGTTTCAATTATTTATTTATAAATGAATTGAATGATTTGATGAGTGAATATTTTATTCAAATCGATTTCTAATTTAAATCCGTTTCTTCATTAAAGCAGCTCTTTTATTTATTTAAATTATAAAGTATAAAACTGTAGTATTATATTTAATTTTCTATGAATAATCTGTATTTATCAAACATTGCAAATGCGAAGCAATATCTATAATTAAAAAAAAACGCTTATGACTGCATACACGGTTTTTCAACCTTGAACTGCAAAATTATTATTATATATTATATGTCTTTTAATACAAGCACAATACTTTATATATGTATAAATTACAAATACTTAGCTAATATGATAATTATAATGATGACGAAGTTATCGATGCACTATTTAACCGAAGAATACTTTGCTTAAAGTGTATATTAATAATCAATTGTTATTTAAATGTATTCAATTAAATTCAATTTATTTTTAATTCCACGTAAGAAAGACAGTAATATTTCAGTATATATTTTGTTCATAAACTGCGTTTATAATGACTTCGTTTTAAAAATAGTAAACTGCTTTTAAAGCATATTTTGACAGATACAATAAAAATTTTCGATAAAATTGAAAAAATTGCAATTATACATGCGTATCTTTAATTGTCATAAAGTATTGTTGTTGTTAAGTCCAAAAAAGGAAAAAAATTTAATTTTAACAAGATACTCGGAAAGATATTGAACTTGCCGGTAAGTTCAAATATTTAAATAAAAACTTTTTACAGTTTAAGAAATTAAGAAATTGTAAGAAATTTTATTTTATAACAAAGTTTTTCAAAATATTTAAAACAGAATAATTTTTTAAAAATTATTAGGAAGACTACAGCCAATTTTATGTTATTATTTATGTTAAAATATGTATTAAAATAAAATAAATCACACTTAATACACTTAATATACTTAATTAAAATACAATTGTCTGTTGTAAATACCAAATTATTCTTTTATTACAAAAATTTATTAAAAACAAAAATTATAATTATTGTAATAAAAACATTTTTGAAAATTATAATATTCTATTTCAATTATATGAAAAATTGTGTAAAAGACTTTCAGATTATAAAAATTAAATGTTGGACATATTAAAACAATTATATTTTTATATTTGTCTTTCAATCATATTCAAGTTATTAATCATATATTGATTATTTATTTAACACACACACACACACACACACACACACACACACACACACACACACACACACACACACACATACACAGATACTAGTTTTAATAGAAGAAAGAAATTAAATTTATTTTTATAATAACAGAATAAAGGATCATATAAATGAAGAATATTGTTTATTCATTTGTTTGTGATTGAAATTAATTTTTACGATGACATGTTAATTACATTAGTACAACCTAAAAGTTTTGTGACAGTATGGGCAAGTTTAAAAGATATATTTTTCATCAATATACGGCTTTTGATTCCGGCATTTTCTAGTGCCAAGTAATATAAATCAGCATAAAACTGTCAATAAAATTATATATTCAGTTATATCTTATTTATTTTTTGAATGTAACTTTTTTTTTATTTGAAGTAATTGTAGTAAATTTATATTGTTCTATATTATACTGTTTTTATATATGTTATTTAATATTAATAATAAAACGCACAAATATATATTATTTTATTTTATTAAATACTAAATATATTACCTTTGTGTTTTCATCATCTAAAGATATAGTGGAAAATTCTGAACTCACTTCAGTACAGGATACTGTCATCGTTCGTAAAGGAGTTATTAAAAGAGTTACATTCGTTCTCTATAAAAACAAAAAATACATAAAAGTAAATCGTTATTAAAATACTTGTATAGAAATATTAATATTTTTACAAAAAAATGGAAAAAAAATATTTTTATATTTTCAATTTTCATCATTTAATATAAAAAAATTAACATTTTCTATGAAATAATACATGAAGTAATGCATGTTCTTTCTTGTGTAATATTTTCCTCTATTAGTTTTAATTTTATTAAGAATTAAAGAATCAAAATTAAAATTGTTAATTTAAAAAGATGATAAAATTAGTTTCAGATACATTATGTTTCTTAATAAAGAAGACAAAATAATTAAGTACTCTACCTCTTTTGCAACGCATCCATGAAGTTCTTTGAATTGTATCACAATTTCCCTAGAATTTCGATTAGCATTCCAACGCGACCAGGAGAAGGCATATGCTGTGCACAGTAGACCCATGCATTCCCGCAGGTGCCTTTCAGTTACGGGATGCTTTACCGGAAGAGCTTTCACGTAACTGAAGGCATCTCGTTCCGGAAATAGATCACATCCGGCGTCGCGCATCTTCTGTGAGAAGAAAATGTTTCTTAATAAAGAATCTTAACAAAATTATTCTTTTTCTAAATACGCCTAGTAAATATACCTTTCAATTCTTTAAATGTTGCAACATTCAAAGTATTTACTTGTTATATCTTTTCACTTTATTATAAATACAAATTAATATCATCTGCAGAAGATAAGAAATTTTTACCTTAATTAAGATATGCAGCTTCATATACTCTCCAATAATCTCTTTAAGTCCCGTCGACATACCACCAGCCAACGAATTTAAGCAGACTAAATCCTCCTACAAAAATAAAAAATGTCATCAAATGTTTATTAATCCATATCTTAACAAAATGAGATGAATAACATTAGTATAATATACTTGTATTTATTTTATAGACTTAAAAATATAAGTCGGGCCCCGACTCTCACACACACACACACACACACACACACACACGCGCGCGCGCGCGCGCGCG